TGAAAAATAAATGTTTTTGGGTGGACACTAGAGGCTCCTAGGAGTTCTTGATGCTAGAAACAGAGAGGGTAGGAATTTTAGTAAGAGTTCCACATACATGAATTTAGATCCCAATATTTACAAGCCACAGACAGGAATACTGGCATCCTTTTCAGGCAGTGAATTTCCAAATGAGATACCAGCTCAGGCCTGAGCCCTGAGAGTAATTAAAATGATTAATTAAAACACACAATTACCAGATTTCCTAATTCTACTAGTGAGCCCAGTGTAGCTGAAGTATCTGATTTAATCTCAAAACTAACTTACGAGATATAAACCATTCATTTGAGGAGTAAATACATTCTTTGTTCGAATTCACCACCCTCCCTCCGTAGGAACCTGAAGTTAAATTACCTTCATTTGGAAGAGCACAATGAGTTCAGTGGCCTCACTCAATCATACTGGCTACAATAAGAAAGAAGGGCAGCTGACCAAGTCCAAGATACTGACCTCTTGTGATTTCAAGTAAAATTGCTATATATATTTACACTTGACCTTATAAAGAATCTTCAGTCCACTGCGATAAAATAAAGTAAAATAATATCTCTTTATCTTTTTTTTAAATAAAGAGATACTATTCTCAGGATGACTTGGGTATAGTGCTTCCTGAAAGAAAGATAGATTAGACTGCTTCTTTTCTTACACTCCCTGGATCCTGTGGAAAGTGCCGAGCAGGTAAAATGAACTACAGTAGGAGTCACAGATTAGATATGGACCATTTTCCATCTGTTCAGGAAGCCTATGGTCTTGACTCAGCACAGTCAATAACTCACCATCAGTTTGGACAAGTCACTTTATTTTTTTGAACATTAACCTCTGCCCCCCACCCTACACCCCACCTCCACCAACGCATGCAAAGGGAACATGAGACTCTTACGTAACCTACCGGCTTTTATTCTTCCCATTCCTTGACTATCTAAAACACACACTATTAGAACATGATAGAAATTTTCCTCTAAGCTTTTGGAATCAACTGGAGTTGATTTGAAAAAAATCAAAAAGAAAAGCAAAACAGAACAAAACATAACCCACATTGGGTCTGTCTTCCAAATGATTCTGAGTTCCCTGGAGGAAAAGGCTATCTTCTATTTCTCTTGCAAGTCCTCCACAGATGTTCTAGTACAGCGTTCTGGTATACGAAACTACTTACAACTAAATAACGGATATTTAGTGCACAATCTCAGTAAACTCAACTCGGGTATTTTAAGAAAAATGGTCTCCTTCACTTTTTCTATTTTGCTGATCTTTCCTAACTAGTTTGCAGTACACTAATATGAATATTTACATTTTAAATGCGTTGTTTATAGTAACGGATATTTTAACACCAATTGACATCTCTTTAGTTCCTACCTTCTACTAGTATTGAAATAAAACATACTTACAGTAAAGTTTCAGGTATTATATCATAGCATCGACTGAGTGACAGATGTTGGAGGTAGTTCAAATGGAAAAATTCCTGAAAGCAGTCATTCTTTAGCATGACACTATCACTGTAACGGAGCAGAAAAAAGAGGTTCAGAACCTCCCCTTTTCCTAGGTGGAGAAAGCGGAAATAGCCCACTGCTTAGTTTCTTCCATTTGCTTTACAATCTTTCCCTCAGTCAATGGGCAATCAAGATTTTTCAACTTTTGATATAAAATAAACAAACAAAAAAATACCTTAAGTCTAGGTTGACAAGATTGGGGCATCTTCTAACTAAGGTAGAGACATCTAGGAAAAAGAATCAATGACAGTCACTATTACATGAGGAAGGAGGCAAGGATATTTGCTATCACCATTATCATTTAACATCAAAGTTCAGGACACTAAAATTAGACTCACACAGTATCAGAAAAAATAAAAGGATCACCTTGGCATATGAAATTTTCTACTTAGAAAACCCAATAGAATCATCTGAAACAATTAGATATGGTAAGATGACTGTATAACATGATTGGTTAATGATAATCCATAGCTTACCTATGTATCAGCAATAACCGGCTAGAAAAACAAGGAAAAAAATAAACATTCACAATAGCAAAAAGCAAAATCAAACACCAGTATACCTAAATGTTATAATATGTTATAAAAGTGGCACTTAAAATCATACTGCTACCATAACTAAAAACAGTTATTTCTCGGGAACCAGCAGTTAGCGTAATGGCTATGTCGCTGGACTCCCACGTAGTTGACCGTGGTTCACGTCCCGGACCTGGTGGCTTAAAACTCACACCGGGCGCGTGTGTGTGCGTGCCCAAGATCCCGAGAGGAGAATGGATTGCGGCGTGACCATCCCCCCTGGGGGGTGATTTCTCGCTTTCTGCCTCTATGTCTCTCTCTGTCTGTCTGGCGAGCGCACGCGCCCTACAGTGAAAATCTCTCCAAAAAAAAAAAAAAGTTATTTCTCTAATTCAAATATATTCAAATAGTTTTTAAATATACTTCAAAGTCCTCTATTCAAAAATATGAGTAATTCATTATTAAATCTCAGAAAATGGTAAGGAGTTTTAAGTAAAGAGTTTCTAAACATAAAGGAAAACACAGGGAACACCTATAATTTACTATATAAAAATTTTAGAACTCTACCATGCTAAACAAAACAAAGAATTACCAGAAAAACTGGGAATAAATATTTTCAACATCCATCAAAGAGTTAACAGTTTAATTGTACAAAGAGGAAAAAAGAAAAATAAAATAGGCAAAGAAGATGAACAGATAATGCACCAAACAGGTTAAAAATAGTACATAAAACAAGAAATATTACTTTTCAGCCATCAAATTAAAAGACCATTATAACTGATGAAAATGTAATAAAAACAGGTCCCTCCATATACTAAAAGTATATATTTAATTTTACATGCAGCCATTTCAGAGATTGAACTAGTTTTTTGGATGATCAATTTTCTTTTTTTAAAGACATTTGGGTATTATTAAGTTCCCTGACAATCCAATATATACTTGCCCTTGACCACTAGTTTTACTTTTAGAAATATACAAATATGCATGAACATAATTATTGCAGCAACATGCACCCCTCCTCCAATTACTTCAATATGCTAACTTTCATCCAGTCTATGGAATAAATACTATTAGCTGTTATTAAAAAGCTTTTGATAACATTTTATGACATGAAAAAACACTAGGAGATATTGTATAGTGAACACAAAACAAAATACTGGGTCATTGAGAAAAGTCATGACACATTTTTCTGTTTTTCTATGCAAAACTGTGTCATGACTTTTCTGATGACCCAATATATACAATGAATTAAAATCTTAATTTAATCAACACACACAAATTCACATTTACATACAAATTCACACATAGGAAGAAAAGGGAGGAGGAAAAAGCTGGAAGGAAATAAACTAAAATCTTAACTGCATTTTTCAAGGGTGTTGGGATTATAGATAACTCTTTAGAGTTTGGTAGAAAGTGACATGGGTATTTTGTAATCAGGAAATGAATCAATAAATGGCATTTATTTAAAACAAGAGACAAACTTCACTAACTTTGATTGTTTTTTCCTTCTAACTGCTATTATCAATGGCCACATGACTTCTATTAAATCCTGGACTTGAATTTTTTTTGTCTTAGAGATTTTTTAAAAATTTATTTCTCCCATGAGTAAGAGGCAGAGAGAGAAAGCATTCCCAACTGGATCCTGACACTGCGATCCACTTCCAGCTGCCCAGGATCAATAGAATGTGTGTGCCCAGAGCACTCAAGGAGGTCTCCAGATATAAATCCTGAACCCTTCCTTGGGGCCAGCCTCACAGAGCTTCATGTTTTACCTCTCTGTCACTGCCAAGCTCCTGGACTTGCATTTCATCTACTGCCTCAACATACTCACTTAGATATGCAATAAGCATCCAAATGTATGTATAAAAATAAATTTTCAATTTTCTCCTTTAATCTGTTCCTTCCCTGAAGTCTTTCCCATCTCAGTAAGTGGTAACTTCATGGATCCAGTTGCTCAGGCAAAAATTCTTGGAATTGCACTTGACTGTTTGTCACATCCCACATCCAATCTGTCACCAAATCCTGTTATGTCAGTTTTCAAAGTGTGTCCCAAATCTGATCAGTTCTTACTGCCTCAAATGTCACCAGCCTGGTTGCCTAATCGGTCTCCCTGCTTCAAACCTCCCTCCACAGCCTTTCTCAACATAATGCTCAAGTAAGCCTTTGAAAAGGGAAGTCAGATCATATCAACACGCTCCAATAACTTCACATCTTACTAAAAAACAAAAACAAAAACAAAACAAAGAAAATGCAAAGCTTTTGCTATGCTTACAGAGTCGTTGGCTACCTCATCTCTTCTTACTGTCTTCCTGGTGTCCTCTTGCCCACTTATCAAGCCCTTCACTCTTGCTGTTCCTTTGTTCTAAAATAGTCCTCTCTCCCAATATCCATATGGATTCTTCTTTCACTCAATCAAGTTTCTGCTCAAGTGTCACCCCTCTCTCTGACCATTCCACCTAAAAATAGGCCATTCCTATTACAGTCTACCTGCTTAGGCTGCTTTGTTTTTCTCCCTTGCATTTCAACTCCTTTCATGACGTTTTGGAAATGTGTTCATTGCCTAGCTTCCCCCTACCAAACCCCACTCCTTTCATGACGTTTTGGAAATGTGTTCATTGCCTAGCTTTCCCCTACCAAACCCTAGAAAGTAAACTTCACAAGAGTGATTTCTCTCTTTTGTTCAAGGACACATCTCCCAAGTCTGGAACAGAGATTCACACATTGTGGGTACTCAAAAAACACTTGTTTAATGTTTGACCAAAAAATGAAGAGGTATACAATATAATTTTGAGTGATCAGCCAATTAGCCATGAACAAATCAAATACAATTTTATTTTGACATCTTAGAAAGAGCCAAACATTGGGGAATGAGTTGATTAGTTTCCTTCTCCAGGTCTCATTTCAGCCCATCCTCCCGCGGGAGAAAGGGTGAGTAAACAGTAGTCACTACCAAGGTGACTACTCTTTACTGTCCCCTTCATTTCGCCATCACCTGTAGATCCACTTGAGTTAGGAAGGATTTCAGAAGCCATGTAATCCAACCCATCACTTCAGAGGAGAGGTGGTTTCTGCTAAGAAGTCAAGGTCATGTCCAAATCCAAAAGCTAGGTCTTCTAAGACCTCCTTCAGTGCTTACATCTACTGTCCCGTGGGGAGGTAAAGATTAAGGGTGAGTGGAGTCTAACAACAGCCAACAATAACTGAGTTCTCACTACGTGCCAACGAGTTATACATAGGCTGACTCATTTATTCAATATTACAAGTCTAAGAGGTGGGTTCTACTATTATCTCCATTTCACTAATGAAGTAACAGGAACAGGGGAGTTAAGCAACTCACTCAAGGCCACCTAGTCAATGGCAGAATAGGTATTTGAACTCAGGCAGTCTGGCATCAGTCTATAAGCTAAAACCAAATCTCTATCTTACATATAATGAAATAGTGTATGTTATTGTTGACACTGGTTTTAAAAATGTTCAATTCTCAGGGCCAGCAGATGGCATAGAGGTTAACGTGGCTTGATCTCACATGGTTGGCTACATGGTTCGAGTCCAGGATCCAGTGGCTTGAAAAATCATGTATGGCATGTGTGCTTGCAAGCCCCAAATCATGAGGAGAATGGAGAATGGACGGCAGTGTGGCCGTCCCTCTTGGGGGTTGTGTGTCCTTACCACCCATCCCTATCTCTGGTGAGTGCACGTATCCTATGACAAAGAAAAAAAAAGTCAATTCCCATTATATAGTTAAGAAAATTAAAACTTCAACCTATACCCTGTCTTTGTCCTTGCCCTGAATGTATCTTGTAAGCAGGATTTTATTACCTACTATTCCCTGCCAAAACTCGGTAAGCAGACTATCTGTTCCTTTTCGGAGGAATAAAGAAAAGAGTTGAAGCCAAATTCAGATACTAGTAGCAGCGTGCTTCCAGTAGCTTCTCAACCTTATACCCAGAGCCACCCTTCGCTTCAGAAAAGCTCTCAATAATAGAGTAGGAGATTCAGATGTAGCAAAGAAATGGGATTGCCCTCCCATTCCTTCCTTTGCAGATGAACAGGGAAGAGCCAAGAGTGGTAAGATTTGATATGAGAAAAATGTTGGCAGCTGGGAAAACTCCTTGGAAGGTGATACAGCAAGAACTGTCTAATGTCTAAGAATGGTGCCTAATCCCTGACTCAGCACTTCCACTGTTAAGAATCCATCCTAGGGACCAGCAATTAGTGCAATGGCTATGTCGCTGGACTCCCATGTAGTCAACCATGGTTCAAGTCCCAGACCCGGTGGCTTAAAACTCACGCCGGGTGTGTGTGTGTGCGTGCCCAAGATCTCGAGAGGAAAATGGAGGAGAAGGGATTGTGGCATGGCCATCCCCCCTGGGGGGTGATTTCTTGCTTTCTGTATCTCTCTGTCTGGTGAGAGCACGTGCCCTATAGCAAAAACCTCTACAAAAAAAAAAAAAAAGAATCCATCCTAGAGGTTCAGTCCTGTAATGGTGAAGTGCTATGCATAGGGAGTCAGATCCCTCATATTCGACATCAATTCAAATCTCAGCCCAGTGGCTCAAAAAATATACCAGGTGCATATATGTGCTTGCTCAGTATCTTAGCAGGATAGAGGAATGGAGGAAAAATGATTGCAGCATGACTATGCCTTAAGGGGATGCTTCTTCTCTCTCTCCAATAAGTGTGTGTGCACACACGCTCCAGCAATTAAAAAAAGAAAAAAAAAAACTCCATAGAAATGTACCCAAAAATCCCATATTGCCAACTTCATGGTTTGAGTCTTGGGCCCAGAGGCTTGAGAAACACACTGGGCTTTGTGTGTGTGTGCCTGAATCCCAACAGGAACAATGGAGGAGAAGGGATTGAGATGACCATCTCCCTATCTTCCAGCCAAGGTGAGGTGCTTTCTTACTTCCCTTCTCTTTCTTTCTCTCTCTCTGCTTGGTGAGCACACCTAATATATATAAAAAAAATTTTTTTCAAAGAAAAGGAAAAACTGGAAAGATTCTAAATGTCCATTACGAGACCAACTGCATAGCTTATTAATTCTATATAAACCATTCCATATCTATTTGGTAGAATATGATGTAACCACTGAAAATGGGGTTATGGGGGGGAGCATATTTCATATACTATGTACCATTTTTTTTTTTAAAGAACTTTTTAAAAAAAGCTTATTCATCTATTTCTTCCATGAGAGAGATACACTCTCATCAGGGTCTTCAAGGTGCAATGGGAGTCTAGTGCCTTAACCACTATGCCACCTGCTGGCTCTCAAAACCATTTTTGTACAGGAGAAAGGCTGGCAAGATGTCAGGTTATTAATGATCTGTTTTCCTTTGAATTTTTCTATTTTTAAGTACTTTTTAAAAAATAAATGTGATTTTAAAGGGAAAAAAATGTACAAGAGAAATATTGTGTGGTGAGGGAGTGGCAAGAAGTTAAGACAAGAGGCTGCTTTAGATCCTTGTCTGAAAATGCAGGTATTTAGAATGTCTTCCTGCTTGTGCCACAGTGGCTGTTCCAACTACTACTTAAATTATAAAAAGAAACATGCAAATATTTGATTAAAATATTTTTAAGCATAATAAAAATGAAAACAAGCCAAATACCCACACTTAGGTAAGCTAATACCAACATCAAGACAACAAGACATGGCTGATGTGTGAGGCTATTTAACAAGATTTTGTACAGCCCAGACTGAATGTTAGCCTGAAATTATAAGGTGAAATTGTTAAAAGCAAAACTTGTCATCTGCAACTACTCATCTTTGCAAACGACGATGTTTTCCGTATTATACGAAACGAAACCAAAATACTGAATGCGAAGATTTATAAAGACTATAACTCTGGGACTAGCAGATGGTGTGATGGTTACGTCATTGGACTCCTAAGTAATTGACCATGGTTCGAGTTCCGGATTTAGAGACTTGACACTCATGCTGGGTGCATGTGTGTGTGTGTGCCCAAGATTCTAAGAGGAGACAGGAAGAGAAAGGGTTGCAGTGTGGCCATCCCACCTGGGGGGTAACTTCTCATTTTCTGTCTCTCTGGTGAGCACACGCGCCCCATAGCAAAAATCTCTAAAATAAATTAATTAATTAAATGAAGACTAATTTTTTATCTACTGTCCCTGATCGCCAATGATGTCAAATATATAAACAACCTCATTCCCCTTTTAAACAGAATTAAAAGGTAAAAGTTATAAATTTATTTCTAAGGTTTATTAATCCTGGCAGTATTGACATTTGGACCAGATAATTTATTGTTGTGACATACATCACTGAGAAGCATTCCTGGCTTCTAACCACAAGATGCTGGTAGGATCCCTGCAGTTTTGACAATGAAAACTGTCTCCAGACACTGTGAAATGTCTTTTGCAGGAATCAAATATTGCAATTCTCTATTTTTTATATTGGGAGTTTTGCCTAGAAATGGACTAAAACAAGTTCTACTTAAAAAAAAAAAAAAGGTTTAAAGTAGATTGTGGACTCAAATTTTGACCAGCCCACTAGCTGTTTACCTTTACCTGACCTTTCTGATCACTAGCGACCTCATCTGAAAGGGAAATAACACACAGTGGATTAAATGAGACAACGTATGCAGAAGAGCACTAAGGACATGCTCAGTAAATCAAACCTATTATTACAGTTGAAGCCTCAGCAGCCCAGGCCTGGAAGCTCTAACCTGATTTCTGGAGATTCTTTCTGTAGCCGCTAAGATTCAGCTGGGTGATGGTCTCTGACACATGTGCGACAGCTACTTGCACGTGCTTTTCAGTGAAGTCGTAACACCAGGAGAGGTTCAGCTCATCCAGCCTGCACACAGAGGGGAAAGAAGGAAATCATGAAACCTCTCCCAGGAAGGAGTGTGCCTCAGGTTGCAAACAAAGAAAAGACAAAGCCATCATCCTTTCTTATCTTGTGCAGAGAATAGGTGCTTCTCCTCGCAGCTCCCTTGCCTTCTTCCTTCTTGATACACTCTCCTGCCCTAAGTGCCCTGAAAGTTGCCAGAGGGACAGAGCAGAGGTCTTGGTGAATGCTGCCCCCTTCTGGAAATGGAGAGGAGCACTCTCCTTTCCTGTCAGCTCAAGTATTACTCCAGGGCAGAAGGCAGAAATTCTAGCCTTTAGGTTTCTCAAACCACCTATGTTGTTGGCAAATTGTATTCTGCCTCTGCAAAGTGAGCAAATGATGGTTTCAAGTACAACATCCACAGCCCCTACTTCCTGGCATTGCCCACGAAATGGAGGCATTTATCTCACTTTAACACATTATTATCGAAAAGCAATCTGCTTTCTTTTATTTTTATTTTCTTTTAATTTTTTGGAGAGGTTTTTTGCTATAGGGCACGTGCGCTTGCCAGACAGACAGAGAGAGACAGAGAGACAGAAAGCGAGAAATCACCCCCAGGGGGGACGGCCACACCGCAATCCCTTATCCACCATTCTCCTCTCGGGATCTTGGGCACACACACACACACACACGCACCTGGCGTGAGTTTTAAGCCACCGGGTCTGGGACTCAAACTGCAGTCGACTACATGGGAGTCCAGCGACATAGCCATTACACTAACTGCTGGTCCCAAAAGCAATCTACTTTCAATAGATCAGTAATGAGGCACATGAGGGGACTTCAACAAGTTCATGGAAATAGGAATTCAAGTATAAGTTTATTTTGGTGGAAATAATTTTTTAAATCCAATGCACAGTGTTTTCATAATACACAATTTCCATTGGCTTGTTGATGACCCCTCACAGGTACAATTATTGTATCACAGGAACCAAGGGATATGAAAAACACAGGCATACACATAACTCTGTACAAATGTCAATCATGCATCTTCTCGCTCAGTAACATCTGACCCTGCATGCACTGACATTAACGATAAAAGATCGTGTTAATGGAAACTACCCAGATTTATGGCTGTTTATAATGCACCAAATGCAGATGGTGGCACAGCAGTAAAAAGTCATGCTCTGTGAGGTAATCCCGCATAGGAAGGTTCCTGGTTCAAGGCTAGAGACCTCCCTGAGTACACCAAACATACATGTGCCCATGATCTGGGGCTAGCTGAAGGCTAGGAATGAACCTGACATCAGGAGCCTGTTGGGGGTTGCTGTCTCTCTGTCTTTTTTAAAAATTTTTTTTGCATAGAAAAATACATCATGACTTTCCCTATGGCCTAATACATTTCTTTTAACAATGCTGTTGGTAGATACACTACTACATTTTTCTTAATTGTAACAAGGGGGGGGGGGGGAAACAAAATGACATAGCATCTCCAGTAAACTGAATTAATTTGTCAGGAAGTTTGGAAAGTGAAGGATATGTCATTATCCAAATCAAGAGACTGGGGAGTTAGAATTAGCTCAAAAAGCTTATCCAAATTCCACAGATGTTAGGAATATTTGTACATAAGATCTCTATAATCAAGTCTCACAACTTTCTTACCTGGAACAGCTGCTTAACAAAGTCTTCAGGGCAAATTCAGAGAATCCAGAACACCCACAAAGGTTTAGTCGCACCAAATTGGAGTTCTGAGCAAGATTACTGGAAAAAGGAAAAAAAAAAAGCAAGAATACTAGTAAGGCTCTCTTATTCAACTGACGTGCACTGAGAGGAAAACAGGCTAGTGTAGGTAAGCACACCGGTCTTAAGTCAGGAGAAGTGAGTTTAAAATTCACGTATCACTACCTCTGTAACACTTAGAATACATTCCCACAGTTTACTCATCTATGAAATTTCAGTATTAGTACTTTCTTGACAGGGTCAGTAAGAAGATTAACTGGCATAATGTAATGTTTGACACAGAGTAAATGTATGAGAAACACTGACTAATTAGCTTATAGATAAATTTCTCCTTGTAAAGTCGCCAGGTTCATTCAACTAAATTTGCCTTCTCCTACATTCTCAAAGTCCTGTGTTAGTTAAACTCAGTGGTTAAGAGCAAGAATTCTGGAATCACATTATAGCACTAGGTTCGAATCTTGGTTTGGTCACCTACTAAGTTTGTGGCCTTGGACAAGTTATTTAGCCCCTCCGTGTGACTCAGTTTCCACATGTGAAAAACAATAATAACATATTTCATGGAGGTGCTGTCAGAATTAAATGAGAATACATTTAAACAATATATTTTCTGGCACAAAATAAGTGCTCAGTAAATGTTAGCTGCTAAAAACATGTGTATGTATACACTCACACACACATATAAAAGATACATGCTGGGCATGTGCGCATATGTGCCCCAAATTCTGGCAAGATGGTGACATGGAGAAAAGGGACTGCAGTGTGACCACACTCCATTGGTGGTTGCTTCTTCCCACCGCCTGCTTCTCTGTCTCTCTCTGGTGAGAACACTTGCCCTTTGGCAATTAAAAAGACACACACACACAGTTATTTATAAGTGTTAGCTGTTACTGTTATTAGTATTGTTTTATATCAGGTTCCATCATTTCTCACCTGAATCAATACACAGCATCCTAACGAGACTAGTTTCTTTCATGTCTGATTGACCCTCTACAGTACCTAGACAGCTCAATTTCGAAATTTCAATTCTGATATGTTCCTTCCATTCCCAGGACCACTCTTTTTTTTTTTAATTTTTATTATCATCATAATCTTTATATTATATTGGATTACATATAGCTTTACAGTGTATCACATTGCTTTTTCAAAAGGGAATGCCATGCATGTCAGTCAATACAGAGACATTAATCTCCCCAGTTCATCATTCAATCTCTTTTCTATGTTTTTCACAATCATTATTATTATTCTAATTATTTTTTAAAACAGTCAATCACTATTTCTCATTTTGCTTGTAAAAAGACTTTACCCATCATGAAATACTTTTCAAACCAATCCAGTTGAGAATAATATACATGTCATCAACAGGTAATAAGCCATATCTGTTTTTCACTAACGTCCTGCCTCTTTATTGTTCTCTTGCTATCATTCTCTATCCTCTTCTCTTCACCCCCCCATTCCACATTGTCCTATTCTCGTTAAGTACCTTCATGTCCTCCAATTTTTATGTCCTCCAATTTTTCACTCTCTACCATAGAGTGTGGATAGTCAGTATATATTGAGTGGATACATATAATATCTTTCTTTCATAGCCTGGCTTACTTCACTCAGAAATAGATCCTCCATATCTGACCACTTTCTATCAAATTCCAGGGTCTTGTTATTTTTTATGGCTGAGTAGTATTCCATAGAGTATATATACCACACTTTCCCAATCCATTCATCAGTTTGTGGACATTTAGGTTGGTTCCATGTCTTGGCAATTATGAATAATGCTGCAATAAACATTGATGTGCAAGCACTTTTCTGACTGAGTGTTCTCCTGTATTTGGGGTAAATACCCAGAAGTGGGACTGCTGGATCAAATGGTAGTTCTATTTGTAGATCTTTGAGGAACCTCCATATTGTTCTCCTCAGTGGTTGAACTAGTTTACATTCCCGCCAACAGTGTAGGAGGGTTCCCTTTTCACCACATCCCCGCCAACACTTATCACTAAAAAGTGATATAAAAATATTCTTAATCTTTGCCATTCTGACAGGGGTTAGGTGGTATCTCATTGTGGTTTTTATCTACATCTCCCTTATGATGAGGGATGTTGAGCATTTCCTCATAAGCTTTTTGGCTGTTTGTATATCTTCTTTAGAGAGATTTTTGTTCAGCTCATTTTCCCATCTTTTAATTGGGTTAATCATTTTTTTTCCACATAAGGCACTTGAGTTCCCTGTGTATTCTGGTTATCAGGCAGGACCACTCTTAATCACACTTCCCTCTTTGGAGCCTACTACAGAGTCTAGACTTCTTACAGTATAACATCGAGGCCTATGACAATCTGGTCCCTGATTATCCTCACCTTCTGTGACTTCCGTCCCTGAGGTCTACACTGCAGCAACTTCTAACTACTTAAGAGCTTAGAGCCACCCAGGCAGCTTTACCTGGCTGCTTTCCCTGTCCTATTATTTACATATTTCCTACCTAAATCACTTTAATATTCTGCTTAAGAGTCACTTCCTCTGAGAAGGCTGCTCTCCCTAAATTTAATTAGGTTTCCTTGTGTATATTGCCACATATTCACCAGCCTATTTAACAAAACACATTGCACTGTAATTATCTGTCTCTTCCATGAATGAGGCAGGGACTGTACATTGTTCATCCCTGTATCCCTAGAACCCAGCAAAAGATCTGGATTATAGTTAGCAGAGCATTCAAATTTTTGTTTCCTAGATGAGTTTTAGAAAGTTTTACAGAAGCTGGAACACATCACTGTCTTTTCTGTGTCCATCTTGATATGGATAGAAAAGCATCCCAGTTATATTCAAGAAACAAAATGAACACATACTAAAACCAACGGCCTTTGTGCTATGTTCTGGCTGTCACTCACTTGACAATGGGATCCGAAAGCCGTAGGCCTTCCAGGCTTAAATTCTGCAATTTGAAACACTGAGACAAAATGCCTTGGAGGGTAGACACATCTATTACAGAGTTCGACAGGTCCATGTGCTGTACACGAAAAGGGCTGAAGACAGAAGAGAAAAAGGAAGCTCCATAAGGTGGCTTACACAAGAACATCCAGACCAAATCCTGCCCCCATCCAATCCAATCCCCAAATGAGCAGCTAATCACAAACAAGACCCTAAATACATTATTTCAAGGATTAACTATAGCTGTGGTCATACTTGCTACTAGTTATTTTGGTCAAATTGCTATTAGGTAAGTGCCATCTTTGCTCATTTTAAAACTCAAGAGGATTTTTACCAAGGACAGATGTCACTGCCAATATGATCCACTTGAAGTGGGCATGATGAGAATGAGCCTGTTGTGGTGACAAAGAGATTAAGCCCACAATGATTCCTTATTTCTCTGAGAGTAAAGAGGGAAATGGCTGAGGTTTTAACTAAAAAGGGAAAAGAGTAGAAGAGCAAGTCTTCAAGGGAGGCCAAGTTTAATTTTAGATATGCTCACAGTGAAGTACTTGGAGGAAATTCAGGTACAGAAGTTTCTAGGTAATTAGAAATGTAGGCGTTTGAAAGAGAGGGCAGACTACAGAGGAGGATTTGAGAGTCCTGGGTTTACGTGAGTGTACAAGACACAGCTTGTCCAAGGACAGTATCAGGGAAAGCTATGGGGTGAACCAAGGAACACACACTAGAAGGAGACTAAGAAGGGACAGCCACAGAAGTAGGACAAAGAGCAGCAGGAGAGGTGGTTTTGACGTGAACCAAGGAACACGCACTAGAAGGAGACTAAGAAGGGACAGCCACAGAAGTAGGACAAAGAGCAGCAGGAGAGGTGATTTTGATAAGGCAAAGAAAGGAAAAAGTACTTGAGTTGGAAGGTTCTATTGTTTTTAGCTTGTTTTTCTGTTAAGGATCTAGTCATTGTACTCAAGTATGAGATTGCACTGAATATTGCAAAATGATCAGTAATAAAAAAATTTTTTTTAAATATTCTTCAAAACAAAGAAAGAAAGGGCTTTAAAAATTTTTTTTTGGTGGGGAGGGTTGTAGATTAGTCTCCGTTAGGACAGAAAATCCAAGCTACAAATCTGAAAACAGGCCCAGCCTAAATTGCACAGTCCACAGCACAATAGACTACAGTGCTGGAAGCTACATAGCTTGTGAGTATGGATTCCTGGGTTAGCCTGAAAATATGCCAAGTGTGCATGCAGGTGGTGCATGAGATCCCAAGGAACTAGAGGGCTAGAGGAAGGGGATCGCAGCATGACAAGACCCTGTCAAGGGTGAATTCTCTCTCTCGTGCAGAGAGAATTTATCATGAAAAAAAATTTATCATGAAAAAAAATTAAATGAAATATAAAAATCTGAAAGAATCCTCAGATTTTATTAGATGTGGGCTGTAGGGAGATAACAAGGCAGCCCTGCCCATGTGGAGAGTGGTCTGCTCAACTCCTGCCTGGTAGGACTCACAATCTCCATCTGCTGAGGACCAACTTAAAGAGCTAAATGTGCATCTTTGACCCTGGAAAGGGCCCAACAGTAATCATGACTTGAAGTAGAAATGGTATCATTGTGACTTGTGTCATGTGGCAATAGAGGCCATGTAGAAAATATGCAGTTAATATCCCATACTGCAGATTACCTGTCTCACGCTCAAAGACTGGATAATGAGGGGCCAGCAGGTGGTGTGGCCGTTAAAGTGTCGGACTCCCACATGGCTGATGGCAGTTCAAGTCCCAGACCTGACAGCTTGCTTTCTCTCTCTCTCTCTCTCTCTTTGGTAAGTGTACATGCCTTATAGCAAAAATTTAAAAGTAATGATAATAATGAATAAAAGAAATAATTTTTAAAAAAAGACTAGATAAATAAAAGAAATTTTGACTTGTGTCTATTTCAAGACCGAACAATAGTCTTTTCTAGGGATCTCTTTTACCTGAAATGTTCGACCAATGGTTGGTCCATAAATGATCGTGGGCAGCGGAAGGCAATCACCCCTCTAGACAGCAACCGGCCAACCACATCAGGGTGCAGATTTTTACCCGTGAGGTCTAAGGTCTGCCATAGAGACTCATCAAACCTAGAAAAGAGGAGGTGCTTGATTTGGTAAGCTGGTCACAGTGAATACTGGAGGCCCCCAACAATGCTACTAACAGGGAAGACAGAGCTGCTAAATCCCTTGAAGCAGATTCTGAAGGAAACTTTGCTTTATGTATAGCTATGATGTTTTTAAGGCACTACTGAGTATCTCTTAATCCTATCATGCATCTATCTTTTTCTTTCCATATCTTGATGATTCAACACTAATCTTAGCACTACAGTGATCTGGATTCAGAGAGTAAAATTCCAGCGTTCCTCTCAATTTGACAAATTTGAAAATGATTGTTCAAATCACGTAAGTGATAATGTAAAAGAAAAGAGAAGTTCCAGAAATGTACTGAATGACAGAGAGTCTTAATATCCATAGTTGAATTTAAAAAAAGAAAACTTGAAGTACAAGGACATGAGAGAACAGTTGCAATGTCAGGTGTACTAGGATTTTTCTTGCTAGTAGTTTTTGGAATTAATGGACCATTGGCCAACGTCTTGAAATGATTTTGTCATAAAGAAACTATCAGTGTGAGGAAGGGAAAAAAAAAAAAAAAACACAACAAAATATCAGTGTGGGAGTTGGCCTCCATTATTAAAAAGGTATAGATAAGACATCCCTGAGAGAGTGGCATTCTTTTCTATCTTTCTCTTGTCCAGACTAAAATCCATATGGCTTCCAAGAAAATGACATAAAATCAGCATGGCTCTGGTTGTCTCAAATCTCATGTCTGATGTTTCCTCTTACAAGCAAGTAAACTATAGCTTAACCAACACTCAATACCAGCCTGAGAAAAGTTGTTCTGGATCATTCACCTTTTCCCCAAATAATGGACATCTTCAGTAAACAGGAAGATGATTGCAGGAGCTACCCAAACCCTAAGACAAATCTAACTGGATAACATAACCCAGTTAATACTGTCAAATTAGCCCAACCTTAGATTCCTGCTTTATCACTTACTGCTCAACCTCCCATTTCTAACTCTATAGTTTCCGCATCTCTAAAACTCAGATGACATGAATATGATCACTAAGGTCACATGGAAGATTCAGTCACTAACAACTGCCTAGCACACAGCAAGTGCATAAGAAATGTCAGATATTATTATTATTATTTTTTTAGAGGTTTTTGCTATAGGGCGCAAACGCCCGCCAGAAAGACAGAGAGAGACATAGAGACAGAAAGCGAGAAATCACACCCCCCCAGGGGGGATGGTCATGCTATCTATAATCCCTTCTCCTCCACAGTCCTCTCAGAATCTTGGGCATGCACGCACACGCGCCCGGTGTGAGTTTAAGCCTCCAGATCCGGGACTCGCCCGCAGTGACACAGCCATTACGCCAACTGCTGGATCCATCAGGTATTACTTTTATGACAACTGAGATGAAGATCTCTCTGTGAGAGATGTCAGAAGATACAAAACAGTAGATATGTAAAATGAACAAGTATCAAGATCTAATGTAGAACCTGAGAACTATAGTTAATAATTATTCTGGATTCATCCCAGAAGAGTGGATTTAGATGCTTTTGACTCACAAAAAAAGGGTAATATGATATGATAGTTTGTCAACTTGCTTTTGGTTTCTATTTTGCTATCTTTGTGCATATCAAAACATCTTGTTGTAGGCTGGTTCCATGGTCTAGTGGTTAAGAGAGCTGGATCCTACATAGTCAATGGTGGTTCAAGTCCCAGCCTTGGTGGTTTGAAGAACATGCCAGGTGCATATGCATGCATACCCAGAATCTCCACAAGATGGAGAAATGGAGAAGAGGGGATTGAAATATGACCAGGTACCATTTGAATGTACTTTTTCTCTTCCCCCCCTCTTCTAAAGGTGAGCATATGTCATCTGGCAAAAATAAATAAATAAATAAACAAACAAACAAATAAATGAATAAAAATTAATAGACTCAGTAGACTCGGCCTCGACTTGGAAAAGATAAATGCACAGCTTGTGGGAAAAGAAAATCGAACTCCCCAGGGGGCAATAAATGAAACTCACTTGCCACTGTGCCAGCACTGCAGGTATATAAACCTCCCTGGACCTCTTCTAAGCAAACAGCCCACTCCTGTGACTACCTGTGGTGTCTAACTTCCAGCACACCCTCAAAGGCCAGGGTTCTGCTGTCTCAAAAGGGAATCCTGGGTATATGGAGGGAGATGCCAGATCAATGGTCTTTAAACATAATACAAAGAATTGAAGGTAGTGGAACCAGCAGTTAGCATAATGGCTATGTTGCTGGACTCCCACGTAGTCGACCGTGGTTCACGATCCAGACCTGGTGGCTTAAAACTCACGCCGGGCGTGTGTGCGTGCGTGCCCAAGATCCCGAGAGGAGAATGGAGGAGAAGTGATTGCGTGACCATCCCCCCTGGGGGGTGATTTCTCGCTTTCTGTCTCTGTCTCTCTCTATCTGTCTGGCGAGCGCACGCACCCTATAGTGAAAAACCTCTCAAAAAAAAAAAAAAAGAATTGAAGGTAGAATGGGGATGAGGAGGGGAAAAGATGGCAAAAAGTTCTCATTGAAAAATAGCCTTTTTCTTACTTCAGGCTGTTACTACCTTCCTGGCTCACCATGACTTTCCTCGTGCAGCTCACCTTCCACATCTGAAAAGTGTTGCAAAAAAATTACCAGCAATGGTTGCCCTCTGCTGAACATATCCAGGAGTCAGGCATGTACACTGGCATCCTTATGTTTTATCCTCACAACCCCCCTGTCCTGAAAGTACCATTATCCCCATTTTATATATGAGGAGAATGAGGCTTAGAAGTGTCAAGTCATTTGCTCATATCAGAAAGAGCGTGAATGGCAAAAGTTGGCTTTCCACTTGGGTCTCACACTACAGCCCTGTGTCCTCTCCCCAGTGGGGACACTGCTGGACATTGCCCAGTCCAGCATGGGAAGAATGGCTGTCTTCATGCACCTCCTTAACTCCCTGTGCCCTTAGCAGAAGGCTGGGCCCAGAGTCAGTATCCCATAAACAGGGACTAAATGGAACACAGGGCCAAGAGGTCTTCAGAAAGATATGTGTATGCCTCCAGGAGATGTCTCCCTTCCACTGAGAAATGAAGACACTAACTATCAATATAAAAATGAAAATGTCTAGTTTGCTTTGTGCTGCTACATTTTCTTGGTTTTTAGTTTGTCCAGACCAGGATGAATAATCTTCCTGTTCCCTTCCTCCTCTGCATATGATGAAGTAATTAAAAAAATACTTACACCAGGCAGTACCACCTCTTACAAACACCAGAGACTTTCAGCAGATCAGGAAGACATAAACAGGAAAAGATCCCTAATAGCAGCTCATCAGGGAGGGAGTCCCACGACACACCTTTGAAGAGAAAGACAAACAGGTCTGCCCATCAGCATTCTTGACTCTATCAAGACTATGCAGTATTTTCAAGCAGGAAGGATACACTGAAGGTCCTATGAAAGGTCATGGAAAATGCTTATTATGAAAAAAACTATGCTTAGCTTTCAAAAATTTTTTCTACCAAAATAAACTCATAATTTAGTTCCATTTTCTACAAACTTATTGAAGTCCCCTGATGAAACATTGAGCTGAAAGGGGAATTTAACGCTAATTGAATTACTCACCCTCAACCTTATTTTTCTGTTCAAACCATTGTCTACATACCCTGCTGTGAGCACCATACCTTCTCAGCAAATGAGAAAAGAGAGAACCACAAATATTTCTCATATTCTTCTTTTCTTTTGCTCCAGCCGGCCACCGTAGACCTTGACAGTATTAACTGTGGTACAGAGCAAGTTCTCCTCTAAAGTGTCACACAATCATGTTTAAGAGAATGTAATGCTTTTGGTTACTAAGGATGGCCTTATTTTGCTCTGGTGTGGACTCAGTGGTGACCTTTTTTAAAGGGCTAATGAAGCTTCCTCTTTCTTTCAGGTGTACAGAAAGCATATTGAAGTCAATTTACCTACAGAGCAGTATCAAAAAGGTGCTCTCATGCTTAATTCAATAAATATTTGCTCAGTCCTTATTATGGTGACAGGTATCATTTTAAGTGTTAGCAAAGGAACAGTAAACAAGAATGACAAAATATTTTCTCTTCATAAAGCTTGCCTTTTAGAGAAGGGAATGAGCATACATTGAATTGTGAAAAATGCTAAAATTGCTTAGTGCTATGCAGAAAAATTAAGCAGGATAAAGGAGAGAAAGGAGAATTCAGTACAGGGATTATAAGTCTGAAACCAGTGGCCTGAGAAGGCCTTATTGAGATGGTAAATATTAAGCAAAGGCTTGAACAAAGCGAGGGAGTGAGCCCTTTGAGTATCTGGGATGTGTTCTAGGTGCAGGGAACAGCATATCCATTTTGAGGAACAGCAAAGACAGTGAAAAGTGTGGGGTGAGCATAGGGTGTGGGGGTAGAAGATGAAATCACAGAAGTCAGATAGGCTGGTCATGCAGGCTTTTAATGTCATGATAAGGCCTTTGGCTTTGATTCGAATGTGACAAGAAGCCACTAGAGGCTTCGGAGCACAGGGATGAAAGGATCTCACTTCATTTTAAAAGGATCACTTCTTTGGGGCCAGCAGGTGGCATGCTGGTTAAGGTCTCCCACATGGCTGACTGCAGTTTGAGTCCAGGAACTGGTGGCTTGCTTTCTCACTTTTTCTCTAGCTTGTGAGTGCATGTACCCTATAACAAAACTTTAAAAATAATAAAAATAAATAGAAATAAATAATTCTTTTTATTTTTTTTGGGGGGGGAGATTTTTGCTATAGGGTGTGTATGCTCACCAGAAAGACAGAGAGACAGAAAGTGAGAAATCACCCCCTGGGGGGATGGCCATGCCGCAATCCCTTCTCCTCCATTCTCCTCTTGGGCTCTTGGGCACGCATGCACACTCACCCAGCGTGAGTTTAAGATACCGGGTTTGGGACTCAAACTGTGGTCGACTAATTGGGAGTCCAGCAACATAGTCATTACGCCATCTACTGTTCCCAATAATTCTTAAAAACAAAAGAACAGGCTGGAGGGGGAGAAAAGTGGATGCAGGAAGATCAATTCTGTCTTCTAACAACAGTATCTAAAGAGTGATTCAATTAAACTCTTATATATGAATACATATAATATGCCTACAAAATCGGCATGATCTAACAGTGGCCAAGAAGGAGATGAAGGCATACCAGTAAAATTACTCAGAGTTGCTAAGGGAGTTCCATACTGCCTTTCTAGTCTGTTTCCTAATTCTAGTGATATCCTCTCCCTCCCTCCCTCTTAAACTGAACGTGTACATGGTTCTAAGCGCCGTGTGAGTAGCTCTTAGGAGACAATGGAGAAAGACGTGGCAGACGGAAGAGGATGATGGACATCCCAGCTGCTACCTTTAGGCAGTACGCCTGGGTAGCCTTTTATTATTATTATTATGATTGTAATTGGGATTGCAACAAATTCATAGAATAAAGAAAATACATTTTTACAACATTGAGCCTTCATTAACATTGTTTAGCTCCTCATATTTTAAAATTTCATTTTATAATTCCTTATTTACATTTAATTGTTGTACAACTTTGTGCGGTACCAGATTAAACAAGGATACTATCATGTTGGTCATCTTCAACAAAGATTACGTTACATTGCATACCTTCAATTACTGTTCTCCTATTTTTTTTCTTAGATCTATTTTTAAGACTGGCAAAGCACTCCTCCCTTTATTTACCCAGTGCAGTACACTGTTCTACTTGTTTATGTGCATTCTTGCATCTGTTAAATGTTTTTCCCTGAGCCAAACTGGCATATCCTCCTGGTATCCACAGTTGTACTCTCAATTCTGGCTTCAAATGTTTCAGTTTCTGCCAGAGTGCAGGCATTCAGGAACATATACATCAAAAGTCTTTTTTAAACATTCATACCCTTCCCTCAATAAGACCCTTCCGGGTTCCCCCAAATACTTAGCCTGAAGTTCACAGAACACTAACCATGAAGTCCAGAGCTCTCAGGACAAGGCCCATGTCATTTTTCTAGGCTCATTATCTAGCAATGTGTTCCAGCCATATGGAGCTACCTGTAAGTGTTAGCGTGAGTCATTCTGCATCACATCTCAATGCCTCTGTACATGCTGTGCCTCCCCCTGGCTGTAATTAACATCAAATTGCTATTACAGCCCCAACTCCTCTGAGAGGCCTCCCATGACATCATCAAGGTCAGGTCACTTACGAACCATAATTGCATTAATTACTTACTCATCTGTCTAGTCTCTCACAAGGTCACAAGTTCTTGAGATCAAGAAGCAATTTAAATTTCTTTCTTTCTTTAGTCCATGAATGAGGAGGGGGGAAGAGACAGCACTCCCAACAGAGTCCTGACACTATGACCCACCCCAGCTTTTGGCTAGTCCCAGATCATGGGCAAGTGTGCCCAGTGCACTCAGTGAGGTCTCTAGTGGTGAACCAGGAACCTTCTCATGTGGGATTGCCTTGCCTTGTAGAGTGTTATGTTTTACTGCTACATCAGCATTTGTCTGCAATTTGTATTATAGTTTTTGAATTTCTAGATACCAGCATAAAGTCTAATACATTCATCCATACATATATTAAACATGCCCCATATACTGAGGTCTATTCTAGGTCCTAGGGATACAGAGATAAATGAGGCACAGTCCTGACCCTTATTTTGCTCAGTTTGAGACACAAACAATTAAATAAGAAATTTCAGTAAGCATCAGGATGGGCTACAATAGAGTTGTAGGGTGTTGTGCGGCATATAAGATTGGAACAGTGATCAGGGGAAGTCTTCCTGGAGGAAGTGGCTTCTGCTGAAGAGTAAGTAGGAGATATACAGTTACTCAATTAAAGCCTGCCCTTTTCTCTCTAGGGGACAAAATTAAAGTATTCACTAGGGCCATGAAAGACAAAGGTAGAGGGCTGGCTTAAGGCGGATCATACATGCTGACCCTGAATCATGACCTGGGAGGCATCTGGAGGTCATGCCAAGACTTCTCTGTGTGGCTACCGTTTTGCCATCACTATGAAGTTCCTCCAAAGTGAGGGTGGGCAGAAGACAGAAGTTCTTAGCCAGGCTCCTGCCCTGCACTTTAAATTAGAAGACAGTTGAAAGACAGGCTTTTCTCAAGTCTCTTTTCCCCCACTAATTCTTCTTACCTTGCTGACTTTTGTTGCCCCTTACATGTGTAGATTATATTCTAGTATCTGAGTTGGCAAAAATGACATACAGTTAGTTATTTTGAATCTAATATTTCTGGAGCTTTAAAACCAATTTTTAAAAATCCAATCACAGTGTATCATTACAGCATACCAAATGTATTTTCCCATTCTGAATATCCTATATATTGGTTCAATCAAAGATAGTACCATACATACTATCATCGACAGATATTTTCCATTTTTTAATCCCTTAAATGTTTTGCTTCTTTCTTTTTCCTTTTGATTTCCCTCCCTCTCGCTCTCCTCCATTTTTGGATTTTACTAGATCTGCAAAGACTAGATGGTTGGCCTCATTAATAAGTCTAAGAACCACTGGGCAGAGGAAGAAGCGTGGCTTTGCTTGGGATATTGCCCCCAAGTTTTTGAACGTGAGCAAGTTACTTTGTCTCTCTGGGACTCGGTTTCTTTGGCTATGGGGATGGATTTTGCACTTTGAAGATTACATGATGTATAAGAAAAGATTAAGTACTATAGCTGAGAGTCAAACTGTCCCATTCTTGCCTCTGTTCTTCTCCTTTCTCCATTAAATCTGGACATTTTCCTTTTGTGATGGCTTTTGCATTTCGATGCTGCTCTGAATTTTCACCAGTGGGCAAATACCTAGTGTCCTAACAGGGTTTGTACAGGGCTGCATGGTATTATTTACCAAAACCCCATACGTACCCTCTATGTTTGGAATCCCCAGGAGCAGATCCTGAGGATCTGACTTCAAGCAGTTTATTTGTAAAGTAATACCAGGAAGGGTTGGACCGAGTAGAAAAGAGACATGGCAGTGAAGGAAGCCAGTTTGGAGTATGTTAATAAGCAACTTGTGGGTTTCTGCAGAAACATATAGGTCCTGCTCCAGCGCTGCCCCACAGAGATCATGAGCGCCAGGGTATTAACTGAACTGCTGTCAGTCATTGATTAGGGGCTCAATCTTAAGTCCTCAGTGTTCTTGCCCTGAGAAAGTCCTCATGCAGAAGGTCATACCTAGTACAGGAAAAAGCCTTTGGTGCAAAGGAACCAGTGACCTCGAGGAGCCCTGACAAGGCACTGACAATGGCTACTTTCAATGGCTGGGGAAAGGAAATTAGGAAAGCTTGCTGTAAAGTACAGGACAAAGAAATTTATTAACAGAGCTTCCTGTTTGAGTGGAACATA